ATGCTGCTGCGAACTTACTTGTGTACAGAACGTACTGACACTCCTCTTTGCATTCTCACTGTGTGTGTGTGTGTGTGTGTGTGTGCGCGTGACTGTGAGTGAGTGGGTGGCTGAGATATTCTTTCATTAGCTAATCACCTCACATGATGAAACGACATATGCGAAAGCCAAGTTTCTGAGCTCCTGTTTGCCATCGCTTGCATGTATCAGTGCAGTTGGCATGACACCAGGAAATAAGAACTAAACACTGAGTCACTTCACCATGATATAATGACTTCAGAGGTCATGTCAAATAAATGTTGAGTGGTTTGCCTCATTGGTGCAGAGGATTAGATAAATGTCAAGAATGTATGATCAGTTGCATCCGTCTGTTCACTTTTTGGTCAATAAAATGTCAAACACATGAAACATGATCAGCTGAGTCCAATGTGATGTCTCAAAAAGGCATATTTCATTACACACAGCTAACCTAATAAGGTATTCTATTTGCAATTACATGACAGAGAGAAGCATTTTATCTTAACTTGAATGGTAAAGTAAAGTAATAAAAAAGACTTCATTGGTACAATAAATTCATCAATTAGGCTAACTAATCTGGCAAAATAACACTGAAGGGTAACCACGACATTTTCAACCTGGATCCTATTTTCCCAATATTTTGTGTCTATTATGCAAGACCACTGCAGCTGACAGCCACAAAACAGGCTGCAATGTAACCACTTGGGGCAACTATGCACCATCAACTTATGTCCACGAAAAGTTCTTGTTTTTGCCACTGACAGGCTCAGATTGTTATTGTAAGTGTCTGACAACATTATGGAAAGGATCCCTACAGAAACAGACATTCTTGCAAGAGTATTTAACCAGAAAACAGACCCAAAACAACATTTATTCAAAATTTTAAGAAACAAAACAATATTCACAAAAATAGTCTTGGTTCATCTTTCCACTATTCCAACAATCACCAACTCTGGTTTTGTTGAAATAACCCTCAATTCACCCAGTTATATGTAAAAATATGCTGGATTTATACATGCTAAATTACTGGCAATAGCAATTTTGGGCTGTTTTAGGTTAAACAAAAAGGATCTTACTCTTTAATAAAAGGGTCCATCTCAGTAGGGATCCTTTACATAAAGTTGTCCGACACTTAAAATAACAATCTGAGCCAGTCAGTGGCAAAAAATTAATAAAAAGTTTAGTACCTGTTGCTTCCATTAGGCACTTAGGCACAAAAACATGGTTACAATAGGGTCCAGGTTGAAAAATACCAAAGTTTCCCTTTAACTCAAGGTCCACCTTCCCAGAGGCTTTCAACCAGATTATGGTTTTCATGAGCAGGTGGAGAAGGCTAAATTATCATCACATCAAGGGATTAAAAAAATCTAAGATCATATGATGACAACTGAGCCAACTCGGAACATGAGATGTGGTCGAAAGCTCCAGGAAAAAGCTAGTAAGTAGACTTTGAGTTACAATTATTGCATCACACAGCTTCCTTGGTCTAGAAGGAACTTTCACACTATATTGACTAATTGTTTCAGCATGATCCATGTTGTTATGACCCATGTTATAAGACCCTGAACTCTACATACTGACACTTTAAAATGATAATAAACATCTATATACTAAAAACAAAACTGCAGCTCAGATTCTGTCCATCTAATGCCATTACACAGCCAAAGAGGGATTCTGAAACTGCAGGGGAACTATGAGTAAGAAGGTTATGCTCGGTATTGTTAATATCCCTGCTTATGTATCACAGGAGTGCACGCGCTCTCTCATAAATCCAGCTCGCCTAGCTTCAAGCCAATTCATCAAATAAGCAAAGAGGAGCCACAATATAAAAGGGAATGAAAGCAGAAACACAGAGCCCAGAGGACACAAAGAACACAACCAGTCATGTGACACTTTTTATAAATTGCAAGCAGTGGCGTGTTAGCAGGCGGTGAAAAGGAGCTGTGAAAATTTTGCAGTTAGTACAACTGTTCAGTTCTGTGTAGCAAATTAGTCCTTTCACCTGCGCCAACACATCAATATTGATTTTGTTTGTTTTCAGGGGTTTATGTTTGGTGCTAAAGTCTTACTGCTCTAGTGTTTTCCCAGAGATTACTTTTCGATCACTCGTGGCAGATATACGCCTTTTTTCTTCCAGTGTTTGTTGGTAAAGAACAAACATACTTCACAGGAAAGATCTAGCAGCCTCTCATGAACTCTTTATAGGTCTATTCATTGTTATACCAGACAGTGATGCAGAGAAAAACACACATTGTGTATGAGAAATGCTACAGATTAGACGTACTACTTTGACATGCTCTCCTGCAGATATTTATGACTTGAATTTCAAGCAACCTCTCTTACACATCCTCTTACAAGGGGCTAGAAATGACTGAGGTTCTACATGCCAGTCACTTCAATGGCCAAAGCTGTCATACAGCATGCTGTGGTGTTTTACAGACTTGATTTATTATGCCTTTGCCCTTTTTACGCATCAGCTCCAAACCAGAGGAACACTGCTTTGTAATCACTCAAACTACTGAAACTGACTGTTAAGCACTCAGAGACAAAGAGAAGACACAGCATTAATGTCTCTGACCTCACCTCATCACTTTTCAGTGCTGACTGTCTGTGGTTACTCAATTGTTTACTCTGTGCCACTACAAAGTGATATTTATGCGTAGAGAAATGCAGCAAAGCACCAAGGGAAACATTCAAGTGCCCACATAATGGCAATTTTACATTATGCTCCTTCTGGGTAAAGTGTAAACAGGCTTGTTGATGCATCATAGAGAGCATGGTAGCAGGGTAGAGCTTTCACTTGACACTTTTAAAACTTTGTCAAAACTGTTTCCACTTATGCAACACTCCATAAAACTACAAAAGAAAATTTTGTTGTGTGCCTTTTCCCTAAATGCTTCTAGATGCAGGCTGGGAGAAAACTCAAACATAGAAATTTGGTTTAATTTTAATTTTGGCTTAAAAAGACATCTGTTAGGGGTGAGTTTGCTCGATTGGCTGTGGCTCAGCTTTTCAAACTCAGGTCTGGTTCCTTTGCCCAAAATATGTTTCTAGGCACCAAACAACAAGGCAGTGACACTAACTTTTCAGACCAAAAAGTTCTGGGGTCTCCCTGAGAGGGACTGCCCAATGAGGAGCTCTCTTGAGAATGATAATACTGCTAACTGTTATTTAAAAATGGCGGATGCTTGTGACATAAAGTCCCTCAAAAGGGCGTTCAACGAACTCTGGTCCGAAAACTTCTCGTGTTTGAATCCAACCAATTTAAGGTTGTTTGCAGCAAAGCAAACATTAAGACTGGTTGGGTCAAAGTTTTAAAAAGAGGAGAAAAGACCCCAGTGACAGGCAAGTAAATTAAACTCCCTTAGAGTTGGGCTAATTTTCTACTGGCCATTTGGTGAAGTGGTGCACTGTTCCTTTAATCAAGGCCTGGTGGAGTGCCGTGGAGCAAGACACAGAATAATGACCAGCTGCAGAGTGACCTGCCTGTGAAATTAATTGTCCTTTCAGTTTAAATGACAAAAAAAGCCTTATCATATCATAAACTACAAAGATTAATGTCAGGATTCGTGTTCATAACCACAAAACCAGTCAAAAAACACAAACTTTCAAATTACAATGTAAGGAAGCACTCTAAATTAGGAAGATGTGACCAAGTGATTTAGTAGCCTTTTGTGAATTAAATTTGCTGTGAATTAAATTTGATGTGAAGCTTCCTCTTGAATACATAAACAGCACACAGTCACAGTAAGATAGCATCATATAGTTCTGAGCTCAGAGACAACAAAAGGTAATGATTGGTAGTTTGGCTGATATACTTTTCACATTTAGTCATATTTACTATAATATCTGACTGTCATCCGACTTTACAGAGTGGCCTCATGGGGCCTGCTGTTGCCCTCTAAACAGTGCTGAGGATACACAGGCCAACTTTTTGATGCAATGTCAATATGCCAATAATGTCAACATTTTCCACTTCCTGTTGCAATGCCAAGTCAATCTGTGTCCCTGCCCTCACCCAGAGCGGAGGGAAAATCTGGTGGAGACCAGGACAAACTATTTGATTTGGTCAAAGCTTTTAGCAAATCTAAATATGTCCTGAACCCTCTGGAGAGCATGACCACGAGAATCAAAAGACCAGCTGGCCAATTAAACTAAATTTCACTCTTAATTATATCATCCCTACATCCTGTTGATGAACACAGCCAGGGACTTGTGACAGACAGATGTCTCAGTCCCGATCTTTGAATTTGTCCACACACACACGTGCACAAATCCAACTTCAGAAGATGGATATGTTGCCAGTGAGTGTACCAAGCATGAGCATAATTGACGGCTCACCTGAATGAAGAAGTTGCAATAAACATTGTGTGACCCCTTTAAGTCACTCCCCCAATAAGCTCTGGGCTCTGCTCATGAGAAGAGATGTTTATGTCCACACAGTCTGACTGAGATGTCTGCAGCCAGAAGAAAAACACACACCTTCCACTCTTTCCTGTTCCACAGTATGCACTGAACATCCACAGTGGAAGTCTAAATAAGGCCATGTGCTGTTTAATCATGCAGGTTACTGGAGCCTGAACAGGTCTGCATGCTGCATTAGACTTGATTTTCTGCAGCATCTCTGCCACGCACAGTACGCACGCACTCTTTTTCGCACGCACTGCCACTGTAGTCAGTTTCTGTGCTAATAAGTTATCACCCCCTCCCTCCCTTCTCCCCCTGCCCCCCCATCATACCCCCTCCCCTCCCTGTAGTGCACTCACTTGCTGCACAACTGCGATTGCAGAGAAACACCAGCAAGCAGTCGAACAGTGCAGTCTCGGGAGGGAACACACACACACACACACACACACACACACACACACACTCCTCTGCGTACGCACACGCACAGAAACGCAATAAAGTCTTTCTCCATCACCCCCACACACGCACGTACACACACAGAAAGAGAGAAAGAGAGACACACACAACAAACTCACCAGTTGGGTTCTTGTTTTTCTTGAGGCTCCTGCCACAAAGACACTGCAGCATATGCGATCCTTTGCTGAAAATGTTGTTCCAAATAAACCGCATGGATTTGGCCGAGACGGGGGAGGAGGAGGAAGAGGTGGAGGAAGAGGAGGTGGGGGACGCGAGGCGCTCCGGATGCGGCAGCCTAAAATTCACCCACCGCATGGGGGCTGATCCGCCCCCCTGTTTGCATGCCAGCAGAGCCGGCCAGCTGTTGGGCTCAGTTCGGCGGTGCTTCGGCCCCCCAATCTGCACCATAGACAAGAATAAGAGCAGGAAGCCCGGCTCGTCGCCCGGTTTCTCGCCCGGTTCCTCCACGAGCCCAGAGACCAGCAGCCGCACGTATTCCGCGTCGACGTCGTCCTCGTGCGGCAGGAAAAGAGCAACCGCTGCGGCGCTTTTCTCCGCGGTCTCCGCCTCCGGCTGCCCCAGCGGCCGGTGGTCCTCAGCGGCGGAGGATAGGTCGCTGCTGCTGCCGCCCGGCCGCCGCGGCGTGGAAAGCCCCCGAGCGCTCCTCTTCAAATGGCGTCGTCTGCCGCGCGGCGCGGGGAGAGGAGCAGCAGCGGCGGACAGGCATGCGGCGGCGCTAGCGTGAAGTCGGCGGTACGCGGCAGCTGTCGGCTTCTGCACAAAAAACCATTGCATATTAGTGGGGATCGCAGGGGTCGGTGCGTCCGTCCGTCCGGGAGGGGAGGAGGAGGGGAGGGGTGCGGATACCGGGTGTCCGTCAGCAAGTCGGTGGCATCCCTGTACCAGTACAGCAGACAAGTACTGCAGCAGGGGGGCTCCTTTCCAAACACACACACACACTCAGTCAGACACTCACACACACTGCACACACACGCGAGATGCAGAATCCTTTTCCAGCAGCAGCAGCAGCAGCAGCGCTGGGTCTCTGGTCTGTGGTCAGTGAGAGCGCATGTTGCGCTGGACCGGCCAGGTGAATCACTGCAGGGAATCTCTGCACTATCCCACTCTGTGTTTTCCTCTTCAAAAAGTCCTTATGAATATTTGATCCGCGTTTCGGCCTCCACTTCTCAATAATCCATAAGCTCCAATGCGCCAAGATACTGCTGCTGTCTGTCTGTCTCCTCTTCCTCTCCTCTCCCTCTCTCCTCCTCCTCTTCCTCTTCCTCACCTTGCTGATGAAAAGCAGCTGCTGGACTGTGGCTCTGCTGTCTCTGCGACTCCACAAACTAGATGGAGAGGAAGTGGAAGGGGAGCGGGTCCGGCTCGTGGTCCTCTCGCGCTCCTCTGGTGCTTCAGCGTCTTCTTCAGCAGCGCTCGAGACGACCGACGGCCGGTGGGGCGCAAGGAGGTGCACTGACTATCTATACCCAAGCAGCAGCAAAGTGGGAGCAGTTAAACAAAACACCTATTCCGGTTGGCACCTTCAAAACAAAAGACCCAAATAATTTAAACTATTTTAACAGCACACTTTCATGAACAGGTAACAATACTGCTCCGCTCTTTTCACTATTTTCTCACAATATGTTGTCTTTATTTATATGAACCTTCCCTACAAATTCTAGTTATTTATGTTTATTGATTTGTATTTTTAGGATATAAACGCATGATTCAATAATCAAATAAAAAACAGGCCTCCAAAATAATGCTCATGCATGAATAAAAGTGCTAACTGACATGGGCATATTACAAAAATTTCTGACAAGCATGCAAATGTATGATTTGTTGTCTGTTCCTGAACAACATTTACACTTTGTTTTTGCTACAGAGCTCAGTCTGGTTTGTGTTCGACTTTTGTTGTGAAGGGAAGCGTCCCCCCTGCTCTGCCTGTGCAGCTTGATGCAGCCCTACCGAGAGGTGCTGCTTGCAGTTACGTAGACACGTGGTTCCCACACCGTCAGTATCTGGACTGACTGGATATAAACCGTAACCGGAGAGATTTGGGGAGGTGGGGGTGCCGGGATGGCGTCACTAATATGGGCACGAGTCCACCACAAACCTTTGTCTCGCTTTACTGCTGTTTTTTATGAGCGCACTCTGCTTTGTGTCGGCGAGGCGCTGCTCCAAACTCCGCGCAAAAATGTGGCGCTTTAATGCCGCCTGCTCTTTCGGCAAATGTACACACCTGTTGCACGACTCCCTTCCAACACTGGGGTCTCCTGCTCAGTTCGGCTTGCCTGATATGGTCTTTGCAACAGCACTTAACCTGAATGAAATCCTTTAGACGTGATTGTTTCCTTCATGCTTTATTTTATATTAAATCATTGGAGTTGAATTATTATTCATAAGAAAGGACCACAAAGGAATGAATAAAAGCTTATCTCATGGCGGGTTGAAACGGAGGTGAAAATGCTGCAGTGGTTTCAGCAGAGCGAGCTGGCGCTGTCCAGAGTGCTGAATCCACATCCACTGCTCAAGCTCACACACACACACGCGCGCGCGCGCGCGCCTGAAACCTCATCAGTGGGAACCTCAATTACCCTCATGGCATGCATGTGAGGTCTCAGGACCGTCATAACAATGTCAGAGACATTTCCATCCAATTACACTAACATACCACAAGGAAAATCAATGAACTGACTTCATTTTTTTGCAGAGATAAATCACCCAAGTCACACTGTACCTTTCTTATGTCTCAGAGAAATGATTAAATGTCAGTAAATGACAGAAAACGTTTGAAAGAGACAGAAACATCTGTCTAAACACACCATCAAGTCCTTAAGGGGATTTCCCGTGAAGGCTTTTAAAACACACCATCCATTCTCCAGATTGGTTTTTGGCTCATTTGCCTGTGATTCAGTCGATTTCTAAACCCAAACCCAAAAACAGCCATTTAACTAAGGAAAGCGAAACGACTTTCATGTATTAAGTGCCTTTGATGTTTGCAGTGTTAGAAAATCCCCCCTCTGAGCTGAATGAAGGTGTGGGCTTGCATTTAGAAAAGGAAAATTAAACACGTAGAGAAGCAATGCTCTGTTAATGAGAACAGGAATTTATATTTTCAGGAGAAATGGTGATGAGATGTAGTTAATATAAAGGTTTATGAAAAGACAGTAAATGGAGAGAGGAGATGATGGGCAGAAGAGTGAAAAATTAATAGGAAAAATGGCTTCCAACATTACTCAACAAAGATAAACATGATGATGAGCGGGTGGCTTGATATTCCATTACAGCCTCTATCTCAGCAGATCTAATTGGAAATAGAGTTTTAGTTCTGAGCAACAACAAATACGCCACCAACTGTATCCACCATAGTCTCATGTGTTCAATGATCATATCAAACCATCTGACAGTGGTATTGTACTGTCCCGATGTAATCTTTCCCTGGCACTAAACACTCAAATACAGCTGTGTGACATTTGCATTTCTCAAAGTTGTCAGGCACACACACAAAGGAGTGAAATTCTGCAGTGGCACAAATGACCAATTACAGACAAACACTGAACTTCCTGGAACAGACATCACTCTGAGCTGCATTGCAGTATCGGCAAATGAGTCCAGGATAATGGTCCTCACTAACAGCCACGTCTCCTGCTCATCTCGTCTTGTATATTCCGACATTTGAATCACAACAGGGACCACACATACAGAAGAGATACACAAACACACACACACACAGAGTCATTACTGCAGGATGACTGACGCCTGGCAGATTTTTTTTCACGTTCTGTTCACGACTTGTACTGTTCAGGGGAGCTCAAGGCTGCAGCATGGGATTGCTGTCATCAAGGGGCAACATATCATCTGTGTGCACAGCTCCTACCAGCAAACAGCCACAGCTGCACAGATGTGTGCTGTACAGTTTGTTTGTCATACACAGCAAGTAGTGTCGCTGGAAAAGGAAGAGGAAAGAAAAGTGACAGGAGTGAGGGCGCAGGAAAACACAGAAAGGTAGAGGAAGAAGGGTGTAAGAGAAAAACCAAGAGTGGAGAAAGGAGGATGCAAAAGACTGAAATCTGAGAGCAACGCTTTCAGCCAGTGGGAATTCATGAAACGCGAAAGAACCAGAAAAGAGGTGGCTTTTAATTACAACACTCTGGGAGATAATTTACATTAGAAAGACTCCAAAGCGTCTCAACTCGTTATAAATCTTGACTCATTTTCATCTGAAAGCAGAGGTGTAGGTAGAAAGCCCAAGGCCCCTGAGAGCACGTCTTTATTTAATAAAACTTTTCTTAATGATTTAACCAAAATGTAACCTGCTGCTCCTCTTCCATTGTGGAAAATACAATAAGACCATTTCATACAGGATGTAGATTTGAGTTGTAATAGAAGTCTGGTTTCTTTTCTATGACATCTGGGAATGTTTAACCTGTGAATGATAGTGGCAGTTTATCCATTCTTCCCACAAAATGGCTAACTTACAGCTAACTATAAGGACATGGAGGTCATATCCTCTATATTTTATCTGGGGGTTTAGAGATTTTCGCAACTTGAGGGGAGTTTCCATTAGTGCTGCACGATTAATCTAATCGCAATCGCGATGTCAGGCTGTGCGATTACATGACCGCACAAAAGGCTGCGATTTAATGTAAATAAATGTTACAGTGTGTGCCTGTGAATATGACTACCTCTCCTGTAGTGTGTGGATTTTGTTGACATCACGCCCACAAGTTATCCGGGTGTGTGCAGCACGTATGGTCAGGTGACCACCCCGCGTGCAGCAGTGACCAACATAGACGCTGAAGAAGAGCATGAGCACGACTAAGAACAGGCTAAGTTGGTGGCAAAAAAAAACGCAACGTCTATTACATGACGATATTTTGGATTCAGGTATGGCGACGTTGAACAGAAAGACGTGCTGTGTAAAAGTTTAAAAGTTAAAGTCGCCATGTCCTGCGGCAACACGACCAGTCTATATCAGCACTTGAGACAGCACAGAGAAAAGCAGGAAGAATGGATGCGAGAGAAAGCTGAGCCATGTAACGTTCAAGACAAAGAGACAACTGAAAGCCGCCAGAGCCTCATAAAACAACATCCAAGCACAGTTACGCAAACATTTGTAAGTGTCACGGGGAAATCACGGACTCCATAACAAACTATATAACAACAAATGAAAAACTGAGCAATTTTGCTCGGTTTCGGCCCACTCGACATGCTGCTGTGTTGGGCTATGGCGAGCTGGAATTTGTCATTTACGTGACAACGCCTGAACGCAACACAGGCTCGCTCCGCTGGTACAGTGCTGTGCTGCATTGCTGTGAGCAGAATGTTTGACTGTTCTCAGTCTGTTGATGGTCATTTACACTGTCCATAATAACTATGTCAGGTCAGGTCAGTGCCCCCCTAATATAATGTAGGGGAACACTGAATCAAGCAAGAAGACTAATGATACCATTTTCTTATTATATTGTGATCGCAACTGCAAATCGCGATATCGTCCACCATAATCGCAATCGCACATTTTTATCAAATCATGCAGCACTAGTTTCCATTCAACCAGGATTTCTTATTTCTGTACCTAAACTGTATTTGTGGCAGCTTGAACAGAGCTTTGAAACAGTAGACGTTCATCTTTGTGAGAACATGATAACACTTTTTCATAATTTCCTTGAAAATTTCCTGGTAAAAAGGAGGTGACCAGGGACAGTTGTAACACTTTTACTGGTCCATCTACGTCCCAACCCTCATCTATGGTCATGGGCTTTAGGTAGCTCAGGTTCAGGTTCACGTCCAACTAGCTGGAGGTCTCGGGGCAGACCCAGAACTAGTCTCGCGTGACCAGCCTCCCTTACTTCGGAATGGGAGTCTAGGGACATTCGTTTTTCGTTTTGTAATAGAAAGGGGCGGGGCTATCCAGACCACATGACGGCATTGCCATAGGTACGGCACACTGTAAATCCTTAATTTCTCCAATCTTGTGGATGTTGCAGCTCTGCAATATAGCTGAATCAAATGAAATCATATCCATTTTAATCTCTTCTTGCGATGCACTGAACACTTCCTTTTCTGTTGTACTACGGACAACAATTTGGGGAACAGTAATTCCGGTGTAGGCGGGTGTAAGGCAAAGCTAATCAGCCGTTGGTTGAGGAATTACGGAAGTACACGGATTTGGATCCAATCACATCACTGCCGCTGAGGGCACTAGTTCTATTAGTTCTATTAGTTCTATTCCACAGACGACAGAGTCAGCCAGCGTGCTGACGTCATCGGCGTCTGTCCAAGAGACTAACCCAGAACATGCTAGAGGATGTATATATCTCACCTGGTCTGGGAACGCCTCAGGATCCCCCAGTAGGAGCTGGGGAGAGGGACGTCTGGAATACTTTGCTCAGCCTGCTGCCCCCGCGACCCGGCCCCAAATAAGTAGATGAAAATGGATAGCCAATTTGCTATATTA